GGTGAGTTGAAAAAAGTAGGGTGTGCGCAATAATCCGTTGATGGATAACATTCACAGCCCTATTAGGAAAAGTACTAACAAACGCCCTTTTTACTTAGGAATATGAAGCGCCAAGAAAACCACCTTGAGCATATGAAAATAAGGAAGCGCAACATGCGCAAATAAGCGGCATAGGAAGATTACATATTCACACCTTTAATTTCGCACACAAAAAAATTACTCATTGTTTATAAATATTGATGACGAAAAAAGAAAATAGATTGAATTCATAAAAAACATACAAAGGTAACCGCAAAAATACAAAATAAATAACATATAAAGATATGTATGTACATACATATTAGCGAATTTCCAGAGTATTTCACTGCAGTGCAGCAGCATTTTTCATCCTTTGTTTACTTGTCTTGATATAACGCATTTGCACCTTAAGCTTTTTTCTTTGCGTTTGTTTTGTAACCGCCCAAAGCGCTCAAATACGTATCTAAACATACTTGTTCGGCATTATTAAGCATGTGATTCTGCAAGGCGTTTGCTTGCGAACGTCTAAAAGGCAGCGACAAAAAAAAAAAGCTAATCAATATACTTAGAATTCAAATTCTCATAAATCAATGTCCAAAAAGGATTTAACGTAACGCATGCAAAGACTTGTGTAAATTGCAATTAATAGCCCTAGCTACTCACATATCGGATAACACATTCCTATCGTTCACATTTAAATTCCACGTATAGTGATTTAGGTGCTTCAATGCCACCAAACGATTGCCACCTGTGGTGGCAGGTAGTTTCTGTAGCGATTGTTGTAATATTTGCAGTACTTGCAGAACCACACTGACACAGAGCGTGCTGGGTGAAAGTGCAGAAGGCAGTTGGTCGATGAATAACTTTTGCGCTCTTATGACGGACTAGAAAAAAAAAATATGAATAAATAAGATAGTTTAGAGGCTTGAGGATTTGAAGAGCAACAAAATTTGGTGTCTTAGACAAAGGCAAAAGGCAAAGGCAAGTCGCTGAATTCATAATGGACATTTTCTCAAAGATCTTAATTTGGGAAAAGTTTTTTCATTCTGTTTTATTATGGATATTCATGGAAATGCATGAATGCCTCGTAACCTCGTAAATAACCGATTTTCCATACAACGAGGTTTGCATCGTTACGAGGCATTTACGCGTTTAGATGAATGGCTCATTATGTTCAAATTCATTTAATTTAATTTTTTTATTTTAGTTATTTTGTTTTACGTTTTTTTACTCACCCTTATCACGTCCATTTTGAAAGGCGGGTTTTGTTTATAAAGGTTAAGCACCAAAACTGCTGAAATATGGGTATATATTTTAAAATGATGCTTAGTTAAAGCTTCCATGAATGTAAATAATTCATCATTGAATTTATGCGAGGTCTGAAAGGACACAGATAATAAAAAAAATAACCGTGGATTTCTTCTAAAAGTTAAGTTATCGTAAATAGTGGCAGAAATTAAAAAAAAAACAAAGTTAGATAAAGTAATAGTGATACTGCGGATGTTTATGCAGTAAGCGAAACCTAAAAATATGTAACACTTAACTACATATAAGCAAAATGTTTAAAATTTGTATACATTTCGTTTATATTTATGTGTTACATATTTTTAGGCTTATCCTAAATGTATGCAACGAAATATGAAATCAAACTATGCATACTAATCAACAGGAGGTACAATGATTGTACTCACTAATCCATAATGCAAGCATATTTTCCAAGCGGCCGGCGATGGTAGTTCGACATATTTCGATGAATGCAATTTTGTAAATTTTTCAAACATTAGCTTCTGATATTGCAAAACATATTTTGGATTTAGTTCTAAATACTCATCGCTTATGCTTTGCACACTTGCTGATGTTTGTGGTTTACGCTGCAAGCAGCCGGCCAACAAAGTTTGCAGCAATATGTGGTATGAACGCAGATTGAGTGGCAGCTTGTAGACGCCAGTGGTATTATGAAAAGTACAATATAAATTAACAAGGCAAATGAAGCACTGAAATTGAATGAAAACAATTACTTTTGAACTCAAATTATAGTACATATTTTTATATCTAAGTAAATACATATGTAC